CCTTTGGCAATTCCTTGCCCACAGACGAGGAGCCAAGAATCATCGGAGACTATATGTACCTGTATCATATAATACGCAAACCCTTTCACTAAGCTTAACCTCAGCCGTAACCTGGGAGGAGACAGTGAGATTCATATTTTTAGTAAGATCCAGCAACAAGTGATTTACTGTCGTAGCACGCTAACTTTACGGCTTACGTCCGTGTTCCAAAACTTCACAGTTACCTCCTTCTACTAATTGGTTGCTACTTCGTGTACCCGTGTAGTGACAGTAATGAAATACATGTAAACCAGTGGTCTATGTGAAGACGTGCGCTGGTGGGCCTTTCCGTGATTTGGCTCACAACCTCAATAGAGCGGCACCATACATTGGCTCACATACACAGACTCAGATAGAGATGCGCACATAACAGTACAGAGAGAGAGAGAGAGAGAGAGAGAGAGAGAATGAGAGAGAGAGAGAGAGAGCATTCATTTTCAGAAATGAGCCATCTGCGTTTAGCTGTCAAATCTGTCATGTCCGTCTTTCCTAGACAATACGCAAAATACCTGGAATTCAACGCTAATAGATTGTGAACTGTTTTAATAAGCTGTTTTGATGGAAATATAATTATTTCGTGCTAACGCATTTAATGCCCCAAGAGAGAGAGCTGTTTACTAGCATCAAATTTCCTGAAACTGAGCCATTTAACAATCAGTCCCCCAAGGGGCTGAATGCTCTGAGCTAAACCTACGTAATTCTTTAGTAGAGGTATTTAACCTTGATAAAGGACCGTTTTTTTTTATAAATCACTTAAAATTTATGTATCCTCCGCTAAGAGGGCGTGATTATCTTCGCGTACATATCAATTTTAAGGACTCCCTTTCCTTTTCCAATTTGCATGTAAATCGAATGGAAAGCCACGGTATAGTTTATACTAATTTGTCTTACAGTGGCGGGCCTGGGGGCACAATGGACCACACTTGCTTTCTCACTCATTCATATATAGTATTGCAAGCCATATGAGACAAAAATCAAATGATTTTACCATCACTGTACATATTTCTATATATTACTGTGGAATTGCCCTCGTCAGGTAACTTATCTTCTGTGTGCTTGGGTCTCCTCCACGTGCGGTTATTAACAAAATAAGGATTCGCCAGTGTCTTATACCTTCATTTGGCCAGGGGCCATTAATTATTTTAATATGCCAACTGAACAAGGCTCAATCGTGATCGTGGAGGAAATAATTTTCATACGTTTTGAATACAGTCAACGTGTGCGTTAGACCAAGTGTAGGGGTAAGCTTGGACCGGAGGAAAATGTAAATCATATGTCCCATGAGGTTGTTTCTGATTATTCATATAGCAAAACTTGGCTGTTTAAATTTGGATAAGTCGATTAAATTAAAAATATAGAACTTGCGGGTTTTGGATAGGGTATACCCTAGCCAATATGGGGAAATTCTTGGAAAATTCATTTTTCTTTATTAAGGTCTAACCCCAACTGGCCTTTATAGGTCGATATGATATTTCACACATCCGTCTAATGGCATTGTGATGTCAACAAAAGTAATCACTCAACACCACTTGTGCACTTGGCGTAGCACGTGTAGATTCTTGCACAGATCTCCTGATGGGGAATTCATGCAACCTTTAATATAAATGGAATAAAATATGTGTCAGTGACTCACAGAATAGACTGGTGCAATGTGCTGTGGCTGTTCTCAAACTTCCACCAAAAATTGGCTTGTCAACCAGCAGCTTTCACCTTTGGTCGACGTCACCGAACAACATTTAACAGCTTCGATTTTGTCTTAGATGTGATGATTGTTATACCTATGTAACTAATACAGCTTTTTTTTTCGAAATAATAATATTAATAATTTTTACAACAGTATTGAGTCCACTAATATTGTTACATAGATCAGCTCTGGTGTTTAAATAATTTCACCATAAAATCGACTTGAATAGGGCGAATTCTAACACAATGCGAATTCTAAATTTTGTATAGAAAATGATAGCTTGTTTTCTTTTGTCCATCATACCGCTGTGAATCAACATTTTTATCAGGGTGTAACTGACTACGGTCTCTGTCACCTGTCTGTAATTTCAACTCATGACTGACTATACTTAAAAACGCATAGGGTTGAAGCAAAAACTTTTCTTGTGATTCCCATGGGGCTGCTCTCCGGGCACCAGTATATATATATAGACATCAAGTTCGTACGTATATTAAGAGGTCTTGCTTCTTCTTACCACTTGTATTACCTGCTGGGACAGATGGCTCGTTCTTATGTGTTAATATCGAGAGGATTTAATTGCTTGATAAGTTCGCAAAAAACACATTTGATTAGTTTCTAATGTCAAACACCATGGTCGTGCTTGTTTACGGCTTGCTGGACACATTCGTGGCTGTCCCGCACTGGTTGTATGCGTCTCGGCGGCAGTGGCTGAGACGTCATTTAGCAAAACTTTTTTCAGATTCTAATACATTATTATTACATGTTACAGCCGTGTCAAAAAGCCATTCACTGTCAGGCATACATATCATGTGATATTATGTACTAGTACATATCTCTTATGTTTTAATTGTCTTTTTCGTGTTGTTTTAGGCGGCAGAGCTAGCCGGTATAAAAGCTTGATCCAATATCTGCAAAAATGTCTGTACTATCGATCGGTGAAAGAAAACAACGCTTGAGATTCTGCATTCGAACAGAGTAACTAGCATAGGGCAATCTATCAAAGAAATAATGACATCCTTGCCTTATGTCTGTATATAGTTTTGATTTCCATTTTGGCTTCTTTATCCAAAATTTTGTTATCCGAGACACTTAACGCCACAGTCAAGGAAAGTCCCATGACAGGAATAAAAAAAAGTCCGTTAAACAGAGGGTAAACTTGATTTGTTTGTGTGGAACGGGTATTACAGTTATGTTTGATTTTTGATTTTGTGTCTCGGGCTCTTAACAGACTTTTTCAACCTTCTGGTAGGTCACATCGCACCGGCGTACTCAGGTTGTACATGTGGAGATTTCGACCAACCGCTGCTACGACCTTTTGAAAAATATATCCGATTTATAGGATTTTTAAGTAATTAGACTGATCTATAACTACACCCTTTTTTACCCTTTTATAATGTATTAGGTCCAGATCTGATTCCGCAACCTTGATCTGAAATGGTGGAAATCGTCTCCCTGTATTCGCCAACATAATGACGTTTGAGGCACCTCAGTGACTAAAGAAAATACATTTCAACCAGCAAAGGAAGGTGCGCCAGTTGTTCTTTACGGGTGTGATACTGGACTTCACTCAATGTGTATTTAATCAACAATAGCAAATAATCATATTGTTCTTTAAGCATAGGCAACAAAATCCGATAAACATTTCAATTCAGTTTTCCATTCAGGTTTATCGACCTCGTAGCACACTTTCCGTACTCGGCAGCCAGATATCGATGAAGTGGCAGAGTTAACAATGATGCTGCGTACAGATGTCATCTGAACCGAAACACATTTTCTGTTATAGATCATGATAATAACCACAGATCCCGTTTCTTTTGGCCAATACACCCAGCACGTGCAGATTCCGTATGAGTTGCCACCCTTTGTTGCTAACACACATAAGTCTTAACAGAATGTCATGGTCGCGTTTGCTGCCAATCAGGTTTAATGGGGATATCTGTCAGTCAACAAGTGATTCATCATATCAAATGACACAGCTTTCGTACTTAATTGAGAACGATTGTTCGATGTTATCAGTCATTCAATTATTCTACTATTAAAAGCAATTATGCATGAGCAAAGCACAGTCGTGAATTAAGCGTAGCTATTGGTGCAAGATTGCTGCACAATATTGACGGTCACGTTCACAATGTACAGCCATCGGTGCTTAGGTTCAAGGTTGTAAATTATAAGTTGCTTGCTGATTGGTCCACATGAGGCTGCTGTTGAGTGACATAACCTAGCCAAACAGATTGCGTTGACTCCGACCTAGCCAACAAGCCTGTATTGACTGCAATCTAGCCAACCAGACTGTGTTGACTCCGACCTAGCCAACCAGGCTGTGTTCCCTACAACCTAGTCAACCAAGTCTCTATTCCCATAGATTTTAGATCGATCTATCCCCGCGGGGAGTCTCACTAGATTACTTTCAGATAATCCGACTTAAATGTCCGTCCCGCCTACTACAAGCTGTAAGGGGTTAATTAACTTTCGTGTCCGCCCGGCTGACAGCTATTTAGCGGGAACCCCCAGGGAGTTAGGTCGATCTAATCTATGGAAATGGGGTGCAAGTTGTGTTTACTGCAACCTAGTCAACCAGGCTATGTTGACTGCAACCTAGCCAACCAGGCTATGTTGACTGCAACCTAGCCAACCAAGTTGAATTGACTGCAACCTAGCCAACCAGGCTGTGTTGCCTGTAACCTAGTCAACCAAGTTGTGTTGACTGCAGCCTAGTCGACCAGGCTATGTTAACTGCCACCTAGCCAAACATGTTGTTTTGAATGTCACCTTGTGTTGACTGCAACCTAGCCAGCCGGGTTGTGTTGACTGTCACCTTGCCAAAAATGGTTGTGTTGACTGCAACCTAGCCAGCCAGGCTGTGTTGACTGTCACCTTGCCAAACAGGTTGTGTTGACTGCAACCTAGCCAACCAAGTTGTGTTAACTGCAACCTAGCCAAACAGGTTTTGTTGACTGTCACCTTGCCAACTAGACTGTGTCGACTGCAATCAAGCCAACCAGAGTATGGTGATTACAATCCAGCTGAACAGGAGCCTATCCTATTTCATGATGTGTGACCCATTAGCCAGCCACCCCTCGTTATTTACCGTTCACCAAATCCCGCTTTGTCAACACGTGTAAACCGTTCACATTTTTTTCACTTTTGATATTACCTATTGATAGCTTCACCAGAGAAAGGGTTCACAACATGTGTTCATTTCCGGTTGCAAATGTTGATTGCAATGAGTCGAAATTGATCACCTATCCAACCCGTTCAAACTGCGGGATGTTATTAATAGGTTAAAGACACGCAACTGGCTTTAATGTACCTGTAGAGTAGAATCAATGTGAGCTTTATAGACTTAGTGCGAACAGTACCATTAACAGACAAATGGAACAGCGTCCAAGGAGCCAACGAGATGTCGATTATCCATTCGCTCACATTACAAGCGTTAGGGTCGAAACGATTGTTCGTAGATTCTAGGTGACAGTATAATATTCCCAGAAGATCAAGAAGTTTTGCTGTAGTAACATCACTTTGACCTCCAGAAGGTGACAAGGTAAGCGCAAGAATTCTGATGGGAGGTTTTGCTCTGGTTTTGGAATTTGAAATCCCGATCAGAATGACAGCATGTAATTTAACGGTTTGGACACACCCAGGACTAAATAGTCATGGGAGAAAGTATCCACTGTATAGATCTGTAGGTAGATAGATAGATTGAAGGGTGCAAGTTAGGGAGGTGGTAAAACAGTTAGGTAGTAGGCACATGTACGAGAGAGAGAGAGAGAGAGAGAGAGAGAGAGAGAGAGCAGTACATACTAACGATGTGACTGTTAACACACAGCATGATTTTACCCTCATAACACCACAATCTTACGTAGCACTTTATTTAACACGTACTGTACTAGTATGTGTGTGCAGATACAACGACGTTGAAAATCACATTTAAATATGGTTTTATTCATTCACACGAATCCTGACTTTGCAAAATATTATTGTACCTTGTTTCCATAGTGGCTATAAGTAATAGACGTAATATAGAAAAATCTATGAATAAAGAGGTTCAATGTAGCTGGTATCATTTAACAAAACACATGGCCAGAACAAGATATGCAAATTCCCCTGTAAGCAAATTAAATCACGTAGTGTATAGATTTTAGAATAATGGCGTCGTCTGTTGTAGACTAGCATTAATGTATTAAATCTGGATAATTGTGACAGTTTGTAACGTAGTCATCGGAACGCTAATTCTAATGCATTCACTGAGTCTTTTATTTAGCTTAAAATCAAATCGGATGACGGTCATCGATAAAAGTCACTTAGACGAACATAAATGTTATCCCAAAAGACAAATAAAAAAACTAATGCGGTGGAAATGGTATTACGCATGTTATCAATGCCGGCATGGATATATAGAGAGTCTGAACACGACTTAACTCGGCCGTGCTTCACTGCAGAGCATTTATCAGTTTCAGTGTTCACAGTATTCACCCTCCAGCCTTGATTGATCAGAGAAGCTGAAGTACCGACAATATTCCCGTTGTTATGAAGTCAAAAGCAGTATCTAGACAAGGACACTCTCCTATAATCCTACTTTACTGGCGCTTAGAACCAGTCCAATTAATTTAACTGTTTGGATTTAAGATGCACGCGTGCCTGCATTATCGAATATACTTCATTTTCCCCTATAAGTGCAGTACCAATATATGCCATGTGAGACGTGCTTTATACAGTAAAGAAGACCTTTTTCTCTACATGGACACATCGCCACTATGTTTTTTTTTTATTTCAAAGCTGGGTCTCTTACTGTGAGTCCTCGACAATGTAAACAGGTTAATTGTTTCTAGTAACAGTTCACCAAGTAGGCCAACTGCATGAGACCGTCTACACGAACAGCCAAGTCCCGGAGCATGGTGTGTTATTGGCGTATCAGATCAGGTTCGAAACATTGCCATTTCTGTTATCATTGTTTCTTTAAAAAATAACGTGGGAGGAAAAAGACGGATTGCGGAATCACAATTTCTGCGGAGGCCGGTATCGTAGCGAGAAAACCAAACTACGGCTTTTGTTGAAAAGTTAATACGATTTTCTCACTGCCTGAAAGGCTGCAGTGGCAAATGCGGAAACGCGAGGCTAAGTCCTACTACTCAGACCTGAAGGAATCGCAAAAAAA